ATGACAGTTTAATCACAAACATGTTGGAATACATCCTTTCCTTATTTCAAACTATGTCAGTCTAGCCTACTGCTCCCCCCTCATGTCTTAGTCAAAGCATTACCCTTTTTGGGACCATTACCGCTCCGTGTGCCTTGAAAATAACAACTCTTTTTGTATGGCCAAATTTTGCTGAGCTGGGCAACCTTGAGATGTCAAATATTTCATTTTTATTGAGTGTGCTTTCTTATCACTAAGGGGCCTCAACCCTGCGTTGTCCTGCAGACTTCACTCCTATTGGGGCCAGGTGCAATGGATACACACACTCACTACTCTGCTTTTCTCCTCTCTGGCCTTCAATGGCTCTTATGCCAGTATTTGGGAAAACAACTTTAAACTTATAAAACATTAACTTTATTTTATCTTATGATTAGTGCAGATTAATACACAACAACTGCAGCAAGAGTTCGATAAATACAGATAAAGCCATTTTGATTTTGGCTTCTCATACTCACCATGATTACAATAACACATAAAGGCAGCATTATTTACACAGAGGTAGCCTCATGTCACGCTTAAAATAAGACTGATTAAAATGTTCTTCCCAAATATCTGCCGTGTCAGTTAAACTTCTATTCCCCCAAAAAACTTGACACACGTACGAGAGACTTTTGCCGAGTAAACTATGATTCAGACAGACTTAAGAGATTTAAAGGTGCTGTAGCAGATCTTGGAAATACAGTTCCAGCAAACTACATTTTTGAACATACACAACCATCCCTCTCCCTTCAGACAATCCCTCGAAACCACGCCTTCAAAACACATAAACATGCAAGCTGTCTGTCGAGGTGTTCAGATGAGATCAAGAAGAAACAAGCCAAGACTGAGTGCTCGTGACACGAGCTAACAACAACATAATGCTACGTTCACACCTAAAGCAGCAGAGGCAGCACAAGCAGCAAAAGGTCCTGCAGCGGGGGACCTTGGGGGGTAGATTTGTTCATGTGTCTGTCATAATGGGCTTGAAAGATCTGACTCACATGCAGAGAACCACTGTCACCACCTCTGGCGCCGAGGTGGTGACAGCCCGCTGCTCAAGTACTCCTCTGGTAATGACCCAACGAGCCGCAGTTGTGCAGGAAGGCCCAACGAGGACAGGGCACCGCCTGGTGGTGGAGAAAGGAAAACACAAAAAACAACCCACACAAACTGGTATCCTAACAGTGTCAGGGTATGCGCACAGGAGGGAGGGACAAGCAGACAACCATAATTGATGTGTCAGGGACTAATTGTGTACAACATGATTGGTGTACAATATTCAATTAACTCATACTGTAGCAGGGACCATATATTTTAGTTTCACTTCCAGACCTATTTCACTGCTTGCTACACGACTGTGGGGAGATCTTCAAGCCAAATGGTAAAAG